AGCAGGCACGTTCGCCTATGCTCGCGGCAATTTTCTAACGGAACGCCACCCGCGTAAAACGAAGTTAACACGAAAGTTTTATGACCGTCGGGCATTAACGGGATCCAGATCTGGTCCGACCTCGTCTTCTGGACGCGGCATCGCGTCTTCGTTCTCGGTCTGATGCAAACCTTAGATTGAGGGAACTAAAGGTGTCACGATGAAGGCTGTTAAAGCGTTAATGGTCCGTCGCTGAAATTCATCAGGCTATAAGGGGGTTGTGGTCGAGTTTCGAGACGTTGCCCGATGCTCTGCAATATGTGCCTTACAGTCGGGCTTGATGAAATAAACCAGGCAATTCCTCGTAATGACTCTTCTCGCTTTCCATCGAATATTTCGTGAGATGGAGTAAATGTGTCGAGCAGAAGGTACCATGTCATTTGGGTCAATAGCAGGAAATAGAAAAGAAAAAGTTAAGTCTTTTCGCTATAGTTCATCAGCTATCGTTAGACTGCAGATGTTTATGCAACTTCAAATTTTTAAGAATGTAATCAGAAAAACAGAATTACGATGGCGGATAGTGTTTCTTAGTAAATACAATAAAAAGTACTGTACTTTGGATATTTTATATATTTTTTTTTATTATGTGCATTGTGTAGAATTTTGCACTTTTAAATTCTTTATAGATGCATAACAATCTACAGTCTGGTTCTCACAATATAATGAATATTTTTTAAATTAGTCTGTATAGATACATTAATGATCTATCATCGAAGAAGTAAAAAGCAGAATTTTGTATTGTGTGTGTGAAAAAATAGATAATGATGCCACTTTTCCACGTTTATTTAGTATTTTTTTAATAGTTTCTTTCCAAGTAACGAAGTTTATAGATTTTATCTAGAAAGTATTTTTAATTTCTGAAACCACAAATTTACAATCCGATGAGATGGGATGAGTAATTCGAGCCTAAGATTTTCTGACTTATTTTTTCAAAGGGAAGGAATATGAAGAAGGAAAAAAGAGAGCAAAAATACAGAGGAAAAATGAAAATCCAGGGCGAAAATCAGACAGAGAATAGGCTAGAATAGCTCGGAAAATGGAAACATGGAGGGAAAAAGTGTTTTTTGAAAACTCGTGGTAACGTTATGGAAAAAATAACTAAGTCAGTATGAAATATTGAACGAATCGTTGAGAAAAAGTGTTATACATTTACCTATGTTTCTTGACAACGAAAATAGAAAACTGTTTCCTTTGGGTATTTTTATATGATGGCCTGTGCATGAAGGTAAATAAATTTTCCTTTGTGATAGAAATGGAAACATGTGAATTTAATATCGATTTATCAAAAAGTGTAAAAATGTGCTTGTATCACGAATTACTCACAACACTATATTTATTCACAGCTAACAATAAGAATTTTGTTAACGTAATATATTAGGAACATCCAGGGATTCAACGAAAAATCAGGTTAATCTAGAAACAACTTCTTAATGTTTCATCTGGAGAATAAACAAACTATATAACAATAAACAATTATCATTTTCGAGCAAGAATGAGTTTTAAATATTTGAATTTTATAAATGTAATGTTAATAAAAACATGTTGTACAAATTTCGTTTAAAATTGCCGCGATTGTTAGAGAATAAAATTAATAATAAGCACAGTTGATCTTATTTTCCACTTAATAAGGTTCGTTATTATATGTCGTGTCATATTTTTGATTAGAAAGATTAAAATCTCATCCTTTGTGTAGTTGATCCAACTAGAGGAAGAGGTAGGAAGGTACCAAAGCTGTCGACGCGAGTACGAAAACCGTACTTTCGAGCTGGCGAACCTTCTTGAAACTTTAAACCGTTTCGACGTGGATGTCAGTTCTGTCTGTCAACTTGCGGCAGAAGGTAAGTATTATCCGCCACTTTCAGATTCCTTCATGTAAGTCAAATGTATCCCCTTGAAACAGCTTTGAAGAACTTGACCGAACCGGGAAACTTATTCGAAGGAAGTATGAAAAACCTGAGACACATCACTTGGGACACAAGAGCCAAAAAAGATCAAACAGAGCTGGTATTGTTACAGAAACAGAATACCGTTTTAAAAGAAATAGTGAAGAGTCTTAAGAAAAAGGTACGAATATATTTTTACCTTTTTCTCAGAGCAATTTTTTGTTTTCAATTTCGACATTTGGTGGCGAATTTTTTAATAGATTTTGATTGAAACTGATTATATAATTTTAAAAGAAATTAAAGAATGAAAAATAACACTGAACATTATTATTCAAATTACTTTTCTTAAAATAAATAACTATAGAAATTGGAAAAACAGATACGTTTATTTAAATTACTTTACGTTAGTCTAATATTTACATATACCAAATTATGTATTAATTGATATTTAATAGCATTATTGATATTATAATAAGTATAACTATTTTAACTATTTTGATATATTTCTTTATTCTTAAGGAAATGGCCGTTCGTTTATTGATCCTGTTTACGTTAAACATAAATTAAAAATAAAATACAACAAAGATTTCACCTAACTATGCCAATACAATTAAAAACCGTATTTCCTTACATGAACTGCAAAGGCGTGCCGAACAAAACTTTTTCAATATTCGGTGGAAGCCAATTTAAATCATAATAGAGAAGATATTACATGATACTGCGTGCTCTAGATCGTCAAAGTTTTTCAAATCAATGATTCCAATAAACTTTTCCTACCACAAAAACAATGCAACAGTGGAATACGTGCAAATTATTGCTAATATTACATGTTCCTGTAAAGTTTACCGTAGATTCTATTGTTCCTCACAAAAAACGTGCATAACTGTAAATTTAGAAGTAAATAGTATTTCCGAACAATATAATAAAAAGAATTTAAATATTTTAAAATGAAAATGTGAATAATAAGCTTTTAAAATCACAACTTTTAATATTTGTTATAAAGGAACATTTTTTTACTTTTCACTTATAAAAAAAGTAAAATGCATTATGCCATTTGTGGTATAACTAAATAATATATAAGTAAGTTTAGTTTTTAATCATCCAGTATTTTATAATCATTGCTTAAATAATCGATACTTTACTATACTTTTATTAGAATAACCATTCTACTCAAATAAATACTGAATCACACAAAAATCGAAGAACTATCAATTTTCGAATGTTGAACTTTAATATAAATGAAACGTATGAGTTTTTACAACTTATCTACGTAAGACTAGAACCCGAGCATTTAAATATGTAATCTTTATGAAAATTGTAACAATAGATTTTTCTTCAGTTTCTTCATATATCGATTGTAGTATTGAAGTGAAACTGTTTATTTTTAAAATCATTTCGAATATTTAACGCTTGTAAGATCACAATAATTGCGAAATAAGAAAACTGAAACACGTAATTTTGACGAGTGCGGTTGTCTAATGTTAATACCAGAAAGTAATTCTAATAATAACTAATAATTTTTTTAAGATGAGATGGTTTATAGTAAACATAAAATGGTTACCTATTTCTAAGCTAATATCAGAAACATGTGTCACAAAATTATATTATCGAATAGTAATGCCTTTTCCCATTCACGTACACCGGAAAACTATCAGATATATAAATTTTACCTCACTTACTTCGAGTACTCATAACCATAAATAGGCCAGTGCGCCGAGAAAAAAGCAATAACATTATAGCGTTACCGGAACAGATATTGCACACGTGCTCGATGAAATTTATGGATACTTGCCACTTTTATTTACTTTCTTCTTTAAAACGTCTTGAACGAGACTTCAAAAACTTCTCGTTCCGCTTAAGCTTAGTATTTACACAATCTTTCGTAAGTTTTATTAAACCGATTACGAGAATCATAATCGCGTGTTGGCAGCATGAATCATATTTTTGAAAATAAAGCGAGAAAAGAATAAAATTACAACAAAACAAGAGAAATTAAATTAACAGCACAACAAGAAAGAGTTAAAAAAAGAAGGTAAGGATAAAAAATGTTATGAAAATATAAAAAGACAAGACGATAATCTATAAAACTATTTTAATACTAATTGTTAAAAGTGTGCAAAACCATAAAACATGAACTGTTTGTTAATATGTAACTCATTAATTATCTAATGATCTTATTTAAAATAAGCTGTATTTTAAAACCAAAACTACTATGTAATTATGTAAAATGTCAGTTTTCTATGATAAGCATGATTTTAAAAGTAAACGCATTAAAACTCAAAGAAATTCTTTAATTAGTGATAAATAATGCATGTACCCTACATCATCTTATTTTATAAAACTTATTAAAACTTTAATTTGTTTTATAAATTGGTTCTTAAAAAATTCCAGATACAGTGGCAAACGCATAACGAAGTCCCGGAGGAAGGAATCGATCATCAAAACTGTCTCGCTTCGCAGGAAACGGAAATAATTACAAGAAATTGTAGTAGCAGCTTACCTGACAGGTTGACGTTCCTTGAAAATCACACAGAAAATAAAGACTTAAACTCATTATCTGAGTCAGATCGTAATGAAAATCGGGATAGTAAACATTCTAATGAAAATAAAACAATGAATACTTGCGGTCGAGTATTCTGCATAGAATCGCATTCAAATGGTCGGTTGTACGAAGAGTATATTTTCAAATTATCATCTAACAGAGAAATGAAATTAAAATATCCTGTCATATTAAATAACAGCGAGACTATGGTTCAAATGGAATTCATTGATGACGAGACCGAATATGAAAAAGCGCTGTTAGACCGAATTATAATATTTTTTAAAAATATATACGCATCCGTGAACGTAAAACGAACTGGCGTGCCATGTGGCACACAAACGATAAGACTAAAAACTTTGAATAGATCTACCCAAACGGCAGTGATCGGAGTAAAATCATTTCTACGCTTAAACGCTGGTGTCACGGTAAGTAAACAAATTTATAAATTTGTAGATCAAATTACAGAAGTCATATTTTAGACATTCAAATATTCCATCAGATTTTATCGTTAAAAGAAAAACAGTCTAGTAACAAAACATTAGTACTAAAAATAATCGTACTAATTATTAGTTTAACATTTTCAGGAATAATTATATATACATAAAGTACGTTAAAATCTATAAATATTTGGGCACTTATATATTCTCTGAAAACATATAAAATGTATTATAAATGAATCTCTTCGGATGATCTTAGATTTTGTATTTAATCAGAGTATAGCATAAGGAAAAGGATTAATTAACATTAGTAAAATCTTTTCCTGTTACATATAAACATTTGACAAGAATAGAAAAAATAGCAAAAGATTTGTATATTAAAATAAATGCTTGAATGTTTTGAGTTAAATATAATTGAAATACTATACTTATATTATGTCTATTAAAATGGATTTTCAATTCAAATAGTATTGATTAGTGTTAATTATACATACAACTGAAAACGCGTACATCTTTATAATAAAAATCTTGATATGTACCAAGTGTCCACATGTTTATGAATATTATATATACAAGATGTTCTATAACCGGCGGTATAACAACAAGCAGATGATTTTTCATGAAAAAATAAATCACAAACATAGAAAAGATTGTTTTATATGAAACTCTTTTTTTGAGACAATGGATTAAAAAAAATATGCATTCTGTTGAATCGTAGTCGACTAATAGTCCTTTCATTGCATTAATAAAAAAATCTAAGTATAATTTATACATTTTGGACAAATTTTCAGTCTATAATTTCGATTTATTTTTTCATATAAATTTTGCTATGCATTTTGTTATTATCATTATCATAGCCAGCTAATTTTAAACCTAATTTATAGTAATAGAAGCTTCGTGTTATGAATTGTAAAGATATTCTTAAAAAGACAGTTGTTTAGATACTTGTATTTCATATAATAATCTTAAAAACGTACATCAATTTTTCTAGAATGATTGGTACAAAATGTAGAAACTTTTCGAATTAAACAGATGCTCAATAGCGAAAAACGTGCAATAGAGAGAAGTCTCTGTAATTTGGAACGAACCGTCAAGACTCTAAAATTCAACGCGTTAAATCAAGCCCGAAACATGATCGATAAACACCCACAGTTCCGTACAAGTGATGAACTATTCGATTGCATCCGGATATTGAGTTAGTAACTGCACATAGCAATACCTATCGTTCTCGGAGATACATGAATGCCTAACATTACAACGATGTTCGTAACGTGTAACAGCATCGAACTAGGTTTCATATAATCGTAATAATACTTTTTATCATTTAATTGTACGTAAAAAAATACCGCTACGAGCAACTGGTGAAGACGACCGCATATTTAAAA